CAACTCTATATTCATTAGGATACCCAGAATAGAGCGAGTCAAGTCTTCTTTTTTAGGATATCACAGAGAGATAATACACCTGCTTTACTATATACCTCCAACTTAGACTAGTTAGAAAAAACAGTTGCAAAATAACCTTAACCATGTGAGTACCTTTATCCCACTTTTTCTTATCTAAATCCTATTCTAGGATATTGCAGTTGGACCTAAAGGAGAGATCAATTAAATATAAATATATATATATATATTTTTTTTTTTTAACAGATACATAACAATAATACCTAATGCAAAAAAAGTTCACAAAGCAAAACTGCTGGTAACTTTCATCTCAAAAACAAATGTGGGTTTTCTCTTTCACATTCGTGCCTGGGGATTCCTGTGTGGAGGGAGCAGAACCGAGCAGCCACGGTAGTCACCCAGGGTGTCTACAGCCTAGAGGAAAGGGCAGCGCCGCCCTGTCCACACTGGAGAGAGCCTGGGTCTGCTCCATCCTCCAGCCCCTCTTCCCAATAACGGAGTCCCTTCTCTCCCAAACCCTCCTGTACATCGGCCAAGCAGTTCTAACCCTCCAATCCTTTCTCACAATTTCTTATAGGTCCAGGACAACTCAATTTGATTTCTTACAGTGATCCACAAGGCCCTAAAAATCTACCTCTGACCTCACTTCTGCCCTTACTCATCTGCTCCAGACACACTGGCCTCCCTGACAGACCACCGCACCAGCTCTTCCGTTTGCCTGGGACACTCAAGACCCAAATCCAATAACCTGCTCACTAAGGCTTTCCTGATCACTCCATTTTATTCATTTTTTATTTTTTATTTTTTTGCTGAGAAGACTTGCCCTGAGCTAACATCTGTGCCAATCTTCCTCTATTTTCTATCTAGGTTGCCACCACAGCACGGCTGGCAACAAGTGGTGTAGGGCTGTGCCCGGGAACCAAACCCAGGTCACCAAAGCAGAGCGCGCCAAACTTAACCATTAAGCAACAGGGCCAGCCCCTGACCACTCCATTTTAATTTGCTATTTTCCACCGCTGGACTCCCTATCTCCCTTATATGCTTTATTTTTCCCCATAACACTTACGGCCATGTGATATCCTACAGGTTTTTCCTTACTTGTTCATTGTCCGTCTCCACTTACTACAAGGCCAGCACTATGAGGGTAGGGGCTTCTGTCTGTCTGTTCACTCCTATGTCCCCAGCACCTACGACAGTGCCTGGCACACAGTGAGAGCCTAAAAATTATTTGTGGAATAAATAAATGATTCCAAGTTTGGGAAATAATGCTAGTATCCATTAAATGTTTATTAGATACTAAAAACACAAAACTACAAAAGATGTCAAATACAAATAGCGCAAAAAACATAATCTTTGCTTTCAAGGAGTCTAGCTAGAAAAAGAGAACTAATATACATGGAGTAATTAGTTAATTACATAGACAGTATTAGGTATGATTATTAACTAATTAGGTTTATTTGTATGTGACTCACAGAACCTGCATTGTTATTCACGGTTATACCCAGAGTATAATTAAACGCTGAATCGCATGGTATAAACCTGTCATGGAGTTCAGAGGTGAAAAGAAATAAATGAGCTGCAACAGTAAGAAAAGACTGTGGGCAGGATGAGGTTTGATATGAGGTTTGTCGATGTGGAGTCATGTACTGGGAGGTGGGTAGGCATTCCAGATGAAGCAAATTTCATGAGAGGACATAAAGGCATGTGGGACGGTAAGAAACATGCCTTAAATGGATACATGGCGTTCAGTGATGAGTGTGATGATCTGGAGAAGACAATCTGAGTGGGCCTAAGTCACAGAGAGCCTCATCCTCCAAGCAGAGGACTCAAATCTGGATGGAATGACACAGCACATGCAGGTGGTGCCCTGCCTGGGTCCTCTAGAACCCTTCTGCTCGTTTGGTACACCCATCCCCGAGGTGCTCTCTGCATCGCTGTTAATGGTTCACAACAGCAACCTTCTGTGGAAGCAACAGAAACTACCTCCTAGCCTTCCCCTGCATAAACACACACACACACACACACACACACACACACATTCTTTCAGGACAGCTGGTGGACAACGACTAATAAATGCAGGGAAGCCAGGACAAAAGCCCAGTTCCTTTGCCTCAAGGCAAGATAGACTCTGTGGTACAATTTTGTTCCCAAGTTCCCTCCTGGATCAAGCTGAGGCTAGACATCCCTGAAACCACATCTTTGCTCATCTCAGTTTCTTCTTCCCAATCCTGCTTCACTCACTCCCTTGTAAGAAACATTTGAAAGAACTCCCTGCATATATCACTTGCCCATGAATCCCATCTCAGGTTCTGCTTCTAGGCAAACCCGACTAAGACAAGTCTGTAGTCTGTAAAGGAAAGTACTACATATTCATGAAGAAAAGTCCATGTTATGAAGAAAAGAACACAGAGAAAGTACTGTTGTAACTCACTCAGTTTGGAAGGAGAATGCAGAGCAGTTTGGTTGGACACCGTGGTTCGAATTCAGAAATAAGTGAAAGAAAAATATTTGCTTTGATATGAGAAAGAAACAGAACTTAGGAAGAGAATGGCCTTAGTATAGAAAAGAAATGAAGATAACTCTTCAAAGTTTTATTTTTTCTTAAAAGGCAAAAAAAAGTATTTTTTTCAGTAGCATTGTCAACTGTATACCATGAATTCTCTTCAACGCAAATCTCTTTTCAGGCTGACATTTTTTAACACAAGAAGTGTTCAAAAACTTGAGCAGAATTACAATGAATAATAACAGGACTCTAAAATTCTCTCACATGTTGGGTCCCTGAATATCTGTATTCAGAAATATGAAGACAAGATTAAGTAGCATCCCCAAATGTTTATAACAAGTTGGTTTATTAGATTTTCTAAGCAGCTTTAAAGAATCTTTATTAGAGTCAGTAGCAGATTACTTAAATAGGAAATGCATCCAAATAAGGTAACATTTGGTTTTCATCTATTCTTAGGGGACCCAGAAGTGTTTTCAATAGAAACTAAGATACTGGGTCCTGGGTCATAAAATAGGGCGCACAATGTAAAAACAAGTAGGCTGGTGTGAAAGAAACAATATATGGTCCAGGAAAAGAGCTTAGACCCTCTAGAAACTTTCAGCTTCAGAATTTGAGAAATTGCCCATAATCATCTGTATTTGTTTTGTTTTGTCAATATCTGAGACAAGTTAAGCTTCTTGACTTGGTTCCCTTTCAAAATTCATACTTAGTAAAAATGCCTATAAATAAAAATGACTACTTTCACTTAATTTTTAGTTATGTGTCTCAATATATAGAACAGAAAGGATACTATCGAAATAAAACTTTTTAGTATGGTTACTTTTTTCACTGATTACTCATATACGCGTTAAAAAGTATAGCTAATAGCTATCAAAATTTAAACACACATAACCTTCAATACAACAGACCTACTGAAAGTAATTTCTCCTACAAAAAGAAAAATACCCAAAAAAGGAAACTGGTAAGAAAGTCATGACACATCAAAGTAAGTCTAAGTTCATAAAATTTTTTTTGTTTTTTTCCTGAGGAAGATTAGCCCTGAGCTAACATCCATGCCAATCCTCCTCTACTTTTTTGTATGTGGGATGGCTCCACAGCATGGCTGATGAGCAGAACAGATCCACACCCAGGATCCAGACCAGTGAACCTGGGCCACTGAAGCAGACTATGTGGAACTTTAACCACTTGGCAACAGGGCCAGGCCCCATAAAAACTTTTTTAAGACCACTTGTCCTGCAGACAAGTACATATAATTTACCATGTATATATCCTTTAAATAGTCCCAGGAAATACTCCAAAAAAAAAGGTTCAATAGCCAAATATATTTGGAAAGTACCATGTGTTATTCCCCTATTAAAGATTTACAACACACATGATAACTTACGCAAGACCATGAGATATTTTGCAAGAAAAAATGGTGTTTTCCAAATTTTATAGAACAGAGAACACTTTTGTAATCAGCAAAAAACAAACTTCCTTACAACCCTCCATAACCACCCAGGGAATGAACCTTCCTTACAACCTGAAGTTCAGAGCTATCATTCAGGCACCCTCCATCCATTCCCTCCTTCTCCTCCCTTCCCCTCAGACCAAGATACTGAAGAGGTTCTCACTTCATAATTCATAATAATCACAGGGACCATATTAAAATATACTTCTTCATCCTTACTTCCAGATGTTCTGACTCCTATCAGTATTTTTAACAAGGGATCCAAGTGATTTCAATGCAGGTCAAATGTTGGGATGCTCAAAATCCCTGATGCAGTATAAGCAATGAGATGATTAGCTATTTTATAACTGAGGCCAGAGTAACTTTAAAAAAACAGTAAGTTCACAAAATCTGGACTTCAAATAAGTATATTACAAAATTATTTTTCTATCTAGGAAAAAATGGGCAAAAGGCATACTAAGAAAAGCGAAATCAGGGCCAGCACCAATGGTCTAGTGGTCAAGTTCTGTGCACTCCACTTTGGTGGCCCAGGTTTGGTTCCCAGGCACGGACCTACACCACTCGTCTGTCAGTGGCCATGCTGTGGCAGCAGCTCACATACAAAAAAAGGAAGACTGGCAGCAGATGTTAGCTCAGGGTGAATCTTCCTCAGGGAAAAAAAAGGAAAAGAAAAGCCAAACCATACTTTAAAAGAATACCATCTAATATACTGCCCAGAATATTAAGGTCAAGAGTTTTACCCTATAATAAGAATCCTTAGTCTGTGCTCCACTGAGAAATTTCAGGAATTCTTAAATTCTCTAAAACTCTACACACAATTTTTATGAGTATGTCAATGCATAATCCAAAAGCTTTCACCAATTCTCGTTCTGCTTCATTACCCAATTTAAGAGCCATTCTATTTTTTATTTATCTACCTGAAATAATGGCAGCAGAAACTGCTTCTTAGTTAACACCATGAGTCAGACGCACAAAAACACATTCCTCAGTGTTGTTTTCTCTCTCAAAGCCAAACAGAAAGCAATTTACCTTTGCAGAGTCATATTCAAAGAGCCTGTACAGCCCTTAATCTTGTTCTGGGCTTCGAGATGAGTCATTCCTTGAGCACTTATTCCATCAATGCTGAGAACCACATCGCCTATTCTTACGTTCGCCTGGGATGCTTTGCCGCCATCCTTTAGCTGTAATAAAGAGATTTCTTTAGAAGTGTCACTCTTTAAAAAATAAACAATAATAAACATAAATGAAAATTACACTTTTCCTTATTTTGAAGGAAAAGTATATAAATATACCATTAGACAAAGTAATAAAAATTATCTTGCTTATAAAGTTAAAATTCAAATGACTTTCATGTTTATTTTCTTAAATTCTTATTTGCTCTCTAAAAATCTAAAATAATTTTCTGAAAAAGGTTCCCTGATAATTCCTCCATTTCTTTACTGTGTAACAGTAGTGTGTGACTGTCATGAATGAAGAAGTCAAGGAAACGTTTCAGCAGAAAAGGAATGTAATCTGAATAGGGTATTTAACACTCCTTTAGAAATAATTTTTAAAACTCTTTAAACAGCTTTACTTTTGTTTGAACACAAAGAGTAATACAGATGGAGGACCCACTGAACACTTCTTCCTGTTGACATCCAGCGTTTGGGGGACTGAGTGATTCTGTATCACAGGTCAAAGTACCTTTTACACTGGATGTGCCTCCTGCTCCAGGCACTGAGCGGAAGGGGAAGGGAACTGAGACTGTCAGACTTTGTGTGTACCACAGGCTTTAATCCCCAGTCTTCCCTGCCTTCTCTACAAAATGTTCTATGTGTTTACATTATTTAGTTAGATCTCCCTCAAACTCCACATGTATCTTTTCATTGCTCCAAAATAAGCAAATATAAAATTGCAGTAAAATGAAAGATGATGCAATTTTAAGAGATACCTAAAAAAATGGAAAAGTACAAATAAAAAGAAACCGTTCTAATTCAAATGACAAGCTCAGAATTCACCAAGTACAAGCAGATCACACTGAATATTGGGTTGATGGAAGACAGTGAGATGAGGCCCAAAAAAAGAAACGAAGAAAATAACCAATATTCTTCTAATACTTAAAACTAAAGATTGTATACAGAGTTTCTATTAGAGATGACGGAAAAATTCTGAAAATGGATAGTGGTGATGATTGCACAACATTGTAAATGTACTTAAAGCAACTTAGTGAAAACTTAAAGATGGTTAGAATGGTTAACTTTTATGATATGGATATTGTACTACAACTTTTAAAAAACTAAATATCCTGGAGAACATTTTATTAAAATCACTTGTTAATCAAAAAAAAATATCCCTCGGCAAACTGAAAAGTACTGAGTGCTGGAATTCATAATCTGGAAGCAAAGCAATAAATACAATAGATATTGTAAGTGCAGTTAGGTTTTGATTACTATCGGTTGTCAAATTCTTAGTACACAAGAACAAGTATTTGGATCTAAAATCAATAAAACAGTATTGACAGCTAGATCCGTGGAGGCAGGGCCCATGTCTGTTTCCTGCCTACCACACCCTAATGCTGGACGTGTGCCTGACACACTACAGACCTTCACGAAATACAAGCTGAATGAGTGGATGCTGTGTATTTATTATTCAATACGGGCAAATCTATGGTTTGTTTTAAACTGTGAAATTACGAAAAACTAAAATTAACATAAATTGAAACAGTTCATTTTAACATGTAGCTATCAAGTGATTGACATAGTTCTTGAAATTAGTACTAAGAAAAAGTATCTATTTGAGCAAGGAAATGTAAAGTCTAACAGACACAAAGTATAAAAAAAGATTTCACACCTTTCAAGTGAAATATTCTCTATCACATACACAGTATATAGTGATTTTGTTTTCATCTTTGTACTAATAGAAACAAAATAACAGAACAATTCCTCTCAGCTCCCCAGACACTTAAAGGTAAGAAAAATTAATGAAATGTTGACACTAAAGAAATTTCCAGAGTAACAAAACAGATCAAAATTTAACTCATATCAAATTTATCAACATAGCTATTATATATGCATATATATATATATGTACACATACACACAACTTTTATTATACATTAAACAGTTGACAAAGTAGTTCCAAAATTCAATGAAAATTAAATGAATCAGATTTCAGGATCACAGGATCAAGAAGAAAATAATTAAGATAGAACTTTGTTAAGTATATTTGTAAAATACTGTATAGACAGATATATTCACTAAAATATAAAAGCAACGTTTATGCGTGTGTTTGGGAGTAAGAAAAAAGTCTTCAAAAATGATAACTACTGTATGGTTTTACTATATTAAATAATAGGTGTGAACAGCCTTTTAATAATTAGTATTTATTTTTTATTAAATATTAAAGAAATCATTTGACAACAGAAGTATTATAATTGTTCTTCTCTACACTGAACTAAATTATTTAAATTGTGAAGGACATTTACAAAGGAAACAGTTAGTAAGCCAGCAACGCCCCCACCTCCTATGGGACTTATTTATGGGGCTGTTAGAATGATCAAGTGAGACATGAGCTCAATAAAGGTCACTGTTATTACTATTCCCTTGACCTCAGATCCCTAATCTGAGCAATGTGGGGGCTGTATTAGATGATCTCAAAGGCCTTCTGAGGTCCCCTCCAGTTTAAAAGTTTATCTATCTGTGAGCTATCTGCAAAAAGGTACAGATCTAAACCTAAAATAAGAAGCAGTCTGAAAGACTGTTGGCAGGGCAAAGGGTCATCCATTCCCTACTAAAATGAGCAAATGAAGTGAAAGTTGAATCCTGATAATGAGACAAAGTATAAACATAATTTATCCTAGATTTTCTTTTAGCCAAGAAGGGCAAGCATTAAAAAAAAACAGAAATAGAATAGAACACAGCTAAATCACCTCACCACTCCTCACATAAATTAGCCTTACCACACAACACTGAAACCTGTGGGCATTTGTCTACATGTTCCAACAAAAGCAATTTAAATACTTCCAGTCCAGCAGTAATATCAAGGCAATGAACAATGTAGAAAGAAAATAATCTAATCAAATCCAATGTCATAATGAGATTAAACTGTTGTTACTCCTTTGTTCCAGCTGCTTACTAGACTCTGAGCTCCTATGATCTCAGTATATTCAAACCAAATTCTCAGAATGACCTATCTTTTCAGGACTGCTTTTACTCTAACTGCCACCTTATTTTCAGATCGTGGAGCACAGAAATCTTACAGCCTCTGTGAATTTTGCCTCTTCCTTGGGTACCACATCTAGGAAAATTACTAAATTTTGTCGGTCTTTCCTTTCCTCCCCCATGCTAGTCCATGACCATCTGTCACCTTGATCTTGCCTACTGCCTACAGCAAGAGTTTTCTAAAGACCTCCCTACCATCCATATTCAACTCTCCATAGTCCTCCGTCTTTCCTCCATCTTCACATTTCCATAACGGTGGCCCTACTACCACTTCACACTGGAGAATTCCAATCATATCAACTATTTATAAAATGAGGGTGAAAAAACTTCAAATACCATCTGCTTCCTACAACGTAGAATAAAACTAAAACCTGAGATACAAACTAGCTATAATTTGTTACCTACCTGTTTCCAATTTCAAAACAAGCTCCATAAGGTCAGGGAACATGTTTCATAATTTGCTCTTCTCCGAGAGCCTTGAATATTGTAGGTATTAGAAAAATATCTGATTAAACCACAGAAAATAAGAAATCAACAAATCAGGACATCAGTTTAATATGCTAAATTCTAGTAGAAATACACTTAATTCACCAAAGAGAGAAAAATAGATTCTAATGTGAAAATGAGAATCTTCAATTAATCATTAGGCTGAACTGACCTAAATAACATCAAAAATCAAACCACATTTCCAATAGAATATGCACACCCATTTTGGATAGTTAGTAATATATTTTTCCTAGGATTCCCCAAAAGATGTCACTACTCCCTTTGGTAACTTTCTCTAACAAGTGTTATGAAGGGCTTAATTATATTTAATCTCAACCCTTTCTCAATCCTCAGAAATGGAAATGAATGCGGATTGCCATCTTTCATATTATTTGAACAATCTTTCATATTATTTAAACTGTCAAAACTCCTTTTTGTCTACAGTTTTTTGAGCTTAGTAATATTAACTGTCTTGGGTTTTTGACATTAAGATCTTTTCTAAATCTCTAATCGTCTTTATCATTCAAGACTCAGGCTTTCTACTCACACAATTTAAAGAGCATGAAGAGCCTGAACTAATCTTGTATGTATAGTGAGAAAGTTCCAACGCATAGAAACAAATTGAAGACTTGTTAAAGGTGGCGTCTCACTGAACACTCCTATGAGCTTCCTTTATCCCCAGAACCACTTCCTCAAGCCATCCTCTCAGGAGAAAGAGAAACGTCTTTTTCCCCTTAATTGGGTAGGATGTAGCATTATTATGAATTGTGAGCAGCTAAGGAAAGACTACAAGGTCATTCGTTATTTGCATAGTTCATTTTTTCCTTTGTTTTTGCAAGTCTAAATAGCTTGCATTTGTTTGAAGCAGTAATAACTTTCTGTCATCATCAAATCTTGGACATATTATATGGCAGCCATAAGTGTGTGTGTATTTCACAAATGCACAATGTGTAGGAAGGAAGCGGTTTTGGGAGGCTCTTGGGTCAAGGTCAGTAGAAATCAAATTAATCACAAGCAAGTGCTTCTCCTTTGATCTTTAAATACGCTTTTCAGTACTGTTGTCCACTTTTCCATAAACTTAATAGCAGCTGCATGCTTCTTTAAAAACACCACTTTGTGGTCTCACGTAAGTTGCAAGCATACATGGATGCACATGTTGGAACTACTTTTGAGCCTCTGTTTACTGTTGCAGAAATGAAGGTAAAGTAGGACAAGTGTATGCTCTTCAAAAGAATGGTATCTTTACTGAGCCTCTCCATTAACTTAGATAAGAAAGGATCTAATATCAATCACCTGTCCTTGGAGTAAAACCCCTATGGAGGCATTTTAACCCTTTTATCTAAAATCACAGATTACAAGAAGTTTTCTCTTGAAAAGGAAGTCTGGTCTTCAGTAAGCAGACAGTAGACTCTGTGTGTGTGTGTGTGTGTGTGTGTGTGTGTGTGTGTGTGTGTGTGTGTGTGTGTGTGTGTGAAATCCAGTCTTCAGTAAGCAGA